TTAAAGGGTAAATATGTAAAAAATTAAAATATAAGAATTAAACTAAAAAAAAAAACTCCAAGTACTGTTCATCTTCTACCCCCTCCCTTCTCCTCTACCCCCACTGCAATTCCCCCCAACCCCCACATCCACTGCAATTTCCCCTCCAAACCCGCAGCTCCTTCTTGGAGCCAAAGTGTAAGCAGCATAAACTTTGTATTGTAGCTATTGTCTGGTGCCTCAATGTTTGAATTCCAGCTGCTGTTCACGCTTCTCTCTTCCCCATCCCTGCACCACTCCACCTTAAACATGTACACATGTGAATCCCCATTTCCCAATTTCATCGCTCTCAATTTCCTCTCCTTAACAAACTCGAAATATTCGCCCTTTCTGCCTCGATTTCCTACATTCTCTTCACCGACAATATGGACTTCATCATTTCATAGTCTAATCCCTAATTTATTCAGTTCTAACGTGAGTCTAAAAGTTAAAGAGTCAATGGCGGTGTCTACGTCGAGATTGAGTAGAATGGCGGACCTTCAGGAATCGTCGTCGAGGAAATGGCAAGGACAAAGAGAAATGAGCCCGGAGAGGAATAAAATGTGGACAGAACCTCTAAATTGTAAGATCAAATCTAAAAAAAAAAAAGTTCCCGTTGTTTATTACCTCCGTAGAAATGGGCAACTCGAGCACCCCTATTTCATGGAGGGAAATTGCAGTGGGTGTGGGTGTGTGTGGGAAGGTGAAAAATGTAGAGTTACATATTTACCCTTTAAAAATTGGTCAACAATTAATCAGACATTTAATTATTGGTCAACTAACAGTCAAACTAACGGTTTCTATCAATTTGAACTCCGAGTGCGAATTGTTTAAAGGTTTGGTACAGTGGGTAGCACAAATGAAAGATTTGGACAAAGTCTGCAAAAATGTGAAATGTTTGGTATCGTGACTACAATTTTCCCTTTATATACACATTTTCTAAACATTTTTTTAAATATACATTTTCCAAAAAAAAATTCTTTTTAAATTTTTTTTTTAAAAAAAGAAGATAAACCGTCCTCCTTCATCTAGGCTTGGAATCGGCTCCTTCAATTTTGATTTTCGAGTAGGAGGAATTAAAAATTGTACACGAACAACTTATTACATTTACAATTTTTAAAAAAAAATTATAAAGGTATTAAAATAAAATTTTGTGATGAATTTGATTAAATTAAATATCACCTAATTGACTACATGCAATTTCGACATATTTATCTTGTAGTTGATAATGAGTGTCTTCCTAGTCCTTCACCCATATTAATGCTTTCAAAATATCTTTTTTTAGTCGACTCCTGCCCTTGGAGAGCACCACCTACCCTGCACTAAAAGAAGACTCCAAAACTACAGTGCTAACCTGAGGTGTTAGTAGATCTTTTGCCATTGTCGCCAGAGTCAATTACTTCTTCTAAATTTTTCTTAATGTAATCAATTAATTCAGCAGACAATACTGAATTACTCGATATTTGAGTACATGTAATGAAAGACAAACTATTACTACTAGAGAAACCACATGAATATGCAGTTGAATCATATCTATATGAGTTCATGCCTTTGAATAAATTTAAAACTTCAACATCGTCATCTTCTATATTAGTGGGAGGAGTAGTTGTAGAGTTGGAGGGTACACGAGTAATATGTGTACCCATTCGTAAAGAATATACTTCATACATTTCACATAAAATTTGTTCCAAATTCCGATAAGTAATAGGTACATTAAAAGTTAAAGCATTTGAAATTTGATCAATAACAAATTTAATACCTGATGAATTATATCGGGAGTCCATGACGCATGCTAACGGAAATAACATGTGCAAGTCTTCCCAATATTTTCTAAATTTTAATTCTATGGAAAATATAACTGAACTAAAATAAGGGTCCTCTTTAAATCTATGAAAAGTCTTAGCAATTATACAGACGTTCAAGGACCAAACAAATAGTAGGATAATAAACACCGGACAAAATATTTGTAGAATCATAAAAACTTGTCAAAATTTTTTTACTTTTAAAAACTAAATGCCAATTGTGCTCATTTAAAATAGTATCGTCGTCGTCTCTCATAGGCCTAATGTTATAAAATTCAGTAATTAATTTGTTCGAAACCTTCACATGATTTTAATAATAAGTATATGAGTTCCATTTATGCCCTACGTCACTAATAAAGGTTTTTGTATGCAATCGTGATATATACTAGTGCATTCCTAATTCGTTGAATTCCATCCTTAACATGTTTTAAACTGTCATGTACTATTAAATTAAAAATATGGTAAACACATTGAACATGAGATAAATAACCACCGAAATTGGGATGAAGTATCGTATGCAATTTATCGATAACATGTTTATTTACACTAGCGTTCTCGAACATAAAAGAAAAATTTTTACTCTCTTATTTATATTCTCTAATAATGTTCATAATAACATTAAATATATTGTTAATATTGTGCGGGGATTCAATAATTTAACAAACAATAATTTTTTTTTATGCAATACCTAAAGTGGGTCTATATAGTGTGCAGTTGCAGCTATGTAACCTCTTTTATTAATCACTTCCCACATATCCGAAGTTAAAGAAATCACACCTCCATATTTTTCTAAATCCGCAATCAATAGTTTATTTGAATTAAGAAAATATTCAATTGTATCAGAACGAAGAGTATTTCTACTTTCTTCAACGTACCTCGATTGAAGATATTGTTTGACGTAGGAAACGAAATGTTTGTTGTTCACTATTGCTAGTGGCAACTCCGTCGCAGCAACGAACTTCACCATTCCCGTTTGAGCTTTCTCCTCCGAATACATCTATGTAGAAAGTGGGGTAGTAGTAGCTTTGGCCCCTAGACTACCAAAATGTAGTTGCGTTTAACCAGTTGGAAGAAGCTCATGTTTGGCCGCACTTGTTTTGTAGTGACAGTTGAGGTAGGTGGTTCCATGACTTTTTGCCATGCCAATCGTTGTTGATAGTATTTACATACTGCTTTAGTTTCTGGCACTCCATCGATCATAGATCAGTTTGAACCAATTTAAAATGGTCCCAATATTTTGTCTGTTTTTTCCCCTTTCTCTTCCCTCTTACATTGCGGAATATCTAATGCAAATTCTTCATCCTGTTCCAAATCAATTGGATGACTAGCATCGACATCTACGTCATCCAAATCAATTGGATGACTACCTTCATGAATGTCAAAATCTTGAATATTTTTTGGAATGGGTAATTCATTTAGAACGTTAAATTCATTCCCAAATTGACTTTGAGCAGGTGTTTCGCCTTCGACACCGAACAAGTTTTCAACAAACCATCGTGGTTCCATTTGTGAATAATTGAAATCGAATGTTGAAACTTGAAGTAGAATTGAGAAGTGAATGAATTATGTAGTAGTCTAGAAAAAAAATTGTAAAATCAAGATTATAACTCGACGATATAAAAATAAAATGTAGAAGAGTATAGATTATAGAATGATGATAATGATTTGTAAATAAACTGTAGAGAATAAAGTAGAGAATGAGAGATTGATAGTAAGTTTGGTGGAAAAAATGTTGTAATGTATAGGTATTTATAGGGGAAGAAAAATGAAATAGGAGGGAAAAAGTTCAAATTCACACTGAATTTTCAGTGGCAAAAAAAAAAAAAAAA